TGCTCTTAAAATTTCTTACTCACCAAAGCCTCCATTGTTGCAGAAATAAATAATTTTATGAGGTGCAAATCTATTATTAGAAAAATACGGTAAATGACCTGGCGCCGCCCATTGAGCCACCCACTCATTAATTTTGGCGGTACTGTTTCAAAATGGCGTCCAATTTTTCAGATGAAGAAGAGATGGAAAGAGATCTCGTAAGTCCAAGCTTATTGGATGGAGTGGACGACATACCAACACAGCCGTGTCAAAAACCATTAGAAGGTGTGCAAAATTATCAATTATTGTATTTTCTTCTAATTAAAAAAAAAATTCTTCCAAATTTAAAATTTTTTTTAGGTATTGTTGCTTTTGTCGATGTTCGTTCGGGATCAAAGAGCACCATAAATACAGGGAATAGCCTAGAAGAGTGTCTGGAGGGATTGGGTGCAAATGTATGTTATTTAAAACTTATCATGAATAATTAATTGTACATGTATTTTCACAGGTAGTTACAAGATTGAATAAAGACGTCACTCACATTGTCTTTAAAGCTGGTAAGACTAATTTGGATTGTGTCAATAAGAAAGAAGTCTTCTTGGTCAATCCATTATGGCTTGATGCGTAAGTATTATTATTATTATTATTATTATTATTATTAATTAGTTGCAAGCGTTGCAATGAGAGGGTGTCAGAAGCAAAGTATCCAGTGATATCAGAAGGGGTGGAGTCACCAGTCATATTAGGTCGAATAAAGAGAATGAAAAGCATGCAACCGAAACCATTTGAAGAAGAAATAGCAAGATCTGTCGGTAAGAGAGAGAGAGAGAGAGAGAAATGAATAGTTAGATTCCTATAGAGCTTAATTTTAAAATTTAAATACAATACCGTTACTGATTTGCTGTAACTATTCAAAAAAATATAATTCCATTATTCCATTGATAGAGAGAAAGAGAAAGAAAGGTAAGGACCTCAAGGAAGCTTCATCAAAGAAGAAGATATCATTGGCTGTGTTTGACTTTACCAGTGATGAAGAGGAGGCCATTGAAATAACTGACCAATCAGACGATAGTCGAGTAAGAATATGAAGATAATACCAAAGAATGGTTCATGTACTATAGTACTTATGGTTGTATGGTGTGTTGTTTTCAATAAATGGATGAAACTGTCTATATTCACTCTATTCTCTGTGTAGTGCTCCTCACCAGACAGTCTTCCTCCAGTCAGTTTTACTCGTACTCCTGTCACTAGTAAAAAGACTTTAACAGAAAACAGCGAGAAACAAGAGACCCCAACAGTCACTGAGAGCCGGAAACCACTAGCTAATAAGAAACCACCTACTGTAGATAAGAAACTAACGAAGAAGAAAGATCAGAATGATGTGAAGAAGAAGGATCAGGGTGATAAAAAGGATAAGATGAAGGAGACTAAAGTTAAAGTAGAGGGGAGTGAGAATAGTTTTGTACCTGTGAAGAAGTTTAGAAGAAAGAGGTCATCGTTTGAGAAACAAGTAGGATAATAATAATAATAATAATATTGTTATTATTATTAATTCTTTATCTTTTCTATCTCTACATCTGCTTATAATGATGATGCTTTCTCCTTTCCATCAGAAACCAACTCTTGTAATGACAAGTGTTCCAACAAAGTAAGCTTACCTCTTCTCTGTTTGCTATTAATATCTTATTATTTATCTTATTTATTTCTCTCTCCCAGGGACCAGTGTGCAGTCCACGTTGTTGTTGATAGGTTGGGTGGTTTTGAACTGTCACACAATGTCTGTGAGACCACTACACACGTGGTATGTGGGACCATCAGACGCACCATTAACATACTAGCAGGGACTGTGAAAGGTTGCTGGATACTCTCTATGGACTGGGTAAGGAAATCAGGCCAAAGTCCCTGTACTATAGTACATGGTCTCTGGGGGAATTTTGCAAAAAATCAAAAGTTAAGAATTCTTTATTTTTATAACATTCCCTGATACATATACATGTTCTTTTGTTGTGTAGAAAGTTGGAGCTGATTCCGATCAAATTTGGATTTTTTACGAATTTTTTAAGTTGCTCCAAAATTGAGTAAAAGTCCCTGTACTATGGTACATGGTCTCGGGCCAAATTTTGCCAAAAATGAAAAGTAGAGAATTCTCAATTTTTATGACATTTCCTGATACATATACATGTTCTTATGTTGTGTAGAAAGTTTGAGCTGATTCCGATTAAAATTGGATTTGTTACGAATTTTTTAAGTTACTCCAAAATTGGGTAAAAGTCCCTGTACTATAGTACATGGTCTCGGGCCAAATTTCACCAAAAATGAAAAGTAGAGAATTCTCGATTTTTATGACATTCCCTGATACATATACATGTTCTTATGTTGTGTAGAAAGTTTGAGCTGAATCTGATCGAATTTGGATTTTTTACGAATTTTTTAAGTTAGTCCAAATTGCCATGTACTGTATTGTAGTGCTTGTCAGCTCATAAAGCTTGTGCTGTTTAGCTCACTTTGATTGCTTTGTGAATTACTAAATGTTATTCCTGAAGGTTTTTAAATCTCTGGAAGCTGGTCATTGGTTACCCGAAGGACCTTTTGAACTAATCACAGAATTCCCTTCAGCACAAGTAAGAGAGAATTAATGTATTGTATGTGCTACTGTCTGTTTCCCAGTTCTTTAGATTAGAGAGGCAAATGGCTGGTGGGCTGTACAAGCCTTCACTGTTTCTTAAATCAGGATCAATCTTCATATCAAGCGATACCAAACCATCTCATAGTGACCTTGAACTATTACTAACATTATCTG